TTTTTTTTTTTTTTTTTTTTTTTTTTTCCCCACTCCAAATCCAAGACAAGATTGAATCCTTTTCTTAAAACGGTTCTTTCTTCGAGGAAATCAATGGTCAAATATGAAATCCGCCATTCAGTAGCGAATTGTGCTCGAATTGAAAATATAATGGAATCTCTTTTATCGAGACATATTTTTTTATTAATTCTATCGCAAGATTCTATTGCAAAAGAAAATCGAAATTAGTGATCAAATGGCGGGAATAAATATTAGTTGAAGGAACGTTAATGAGTCTGAATAAATAAATAATTAACGGTGATATTTACGTATTATGAGGTGAGAGCGTACGAGCTATCGGCGTTTCAATTTTTAATTTGCATTCTCCCTCCTCATTAACGGAAAAACTGATAGTGACAAAGTTCTCAATTATCCCTCGATTCTTTAATTACCGGGATTCTCATTGAGAAACGCTGAAGAATTCGATTGAATTTGTCATCACATTTTTATTCCAAGTTTATTCCATTCGTCTCTTAATTCGATTCGTTCTCTAATAATAACAATTTATTAAATTTCAATGAAATATCTATTTTAATAATAAATATTCGCGCCTTCCATTTGGATCCTGGAAAGATACCACGTTTTCTAGAGATTCTGTGACGTTTAATTTTAGATAATCGATCAAAATTGGATTAACACGGTCGGCACAATATTCAAATTTCTAAACTCAGGGTAACGTTCGATGTTTAGTAATTGATCTGATATTGGAACATTTCCTGTGATCGATAGCAAGTGACGGGGATGGGAAATGGGCTCGAAATTCATGACTGATGATACTTGAATTTACAACTAATCGATAACCAACAGTGCATACGAAAACACACACGGTGTGTGTAATAGATTCATTCCGAAAGAATGATGCCCACTGATACATCGAATCGCTTTTAAAATTTCTAAAAAAAACACACATGATAAAGAATATATCTCTTTATCGATTAAAGTAAAATCAAATTAAAGAATCAAAATTCTCTTTAATTGCTCACTTGTTCCAATTATCCTGCATCACGAAAAATTTATTTTCATATTATAGTTTGAAATACTATTCCTTATTATCCATTTTTAGAAAAAAAATCCATTTATAAAATCTTGCTACATTATGAAAGAAATAAAAATAAAAATATATATATTTTATCTATTTTTTTCTTTTCTTTGAAAAAGAAAAAGACAAAAAAATGAGAAAGTATTACTTACTGACAACAGGTGCACCGAAGTATAGGCAGACAAGTGACGATGTGTATCACGATTCCGATGTAATGGGCAGTCGATGACAGAAACGAGAGCTTGGCAGAGCAGGGTCAGTCAATGCTTAGGAATCGTGAAAGGGTAGAGTAGAGAGGTGAGATTACAAGGCAATAGCGCGATGTGCAATCACGAGGACACACGTGAAGGATCGACACGCAGCCGGTTCTCCTTCGTTCGCCTCTCTCGATAATAATTAGACGCTGTCCCCATAGCTAACTCTTCGCCACGTCTCTGCCGTCCTTTGCCCTCAAACAATGTGTGTACATACGGGAGATCGTTACAAGCTGCCGAATCTTTCTCGTGGAGGGAAAGGCCACGATTTCGTCAACGATATAATCAATGGGAATTGCGAAAAAGGATTGGTAGGCACGAGAACGAGTGGACGTCCTTTCGACAGTGTATAGGTGAGCTTTGGGTTAGGGATGACCATTTTTTTTTCCTTCCCCTCTTTACTCTTGGATTGACGTAAATCTCCCTTAGAGATCGATTCTGCTTCGATGTCTCGTGGCATTGGGACGAGTCGAACGATACTCCGAAATAAATTCTAAACGTTGATGTTATTAACAAATTGCGAATGAATTTGTATCAAGTAATTGATATAAAAATCGATTTCATTTTCTTTTTTTTTTGGAAATTAAATCCATTAAAAATTTTAAACGATCATTTATCACCTTTTTTTATAAAACACATGTATAAATGATATAAATCTTTATTCTGCTCCATGTTTCTCTCTGATAAAAAAGTAGAAATTTTCTTGATAATGAGGTAGGCTCTTTGTCGCGGAGGCTAATCTCGATATCTCTTATAAGCATCGAAACGAGTTATGATTCATTATACTTTGATACGTTGAATTTTATTCCAGACCAATTTGATTGAAGACTAATGGCCACTCGACGCGGCCGGGCAAAAATATAGATAACCACTTTGTCATCTTCGAAATAGGCTAGGCTGTCACGGGCAACGTGTCGTCGCGAAATCTGTATACTGTGATGGGGGATCCACGTGATCACGATATGCGATATTTCATCGAACGATGCCACACGTGGAACTTTATCGCGTATATAATTCTTCAATCGCCGAGAGGAGGACCGCTTGTCACCGCACTTCTCTACGCAATTATCCTCTGTCATCCGTCTCCAAGATGAAATAATTACGAGGATAGGAGAGAGAATTGCAATACAATGTTTCGTAGATTCGTTCGTATCGAATTCTCCGTACATTTTTCTTTCTTTTCATTATTTTTCTAGTATGATAATTAAACGTCATCGCTATCACTATCATTTTTCTTATCACAGCAGATAGAATTTAATTTAAAATTGACGTTCACTCTTGAAATGTAACATTGGAAAATTTGTAATCACTAGTATTAAAAAGTAAAAGCCTGATGAACGATCTTATAAATCAGCTTTTATAATAAAATTTAATTCGTTAAAGATCTAAATTCGATCAACAAAACTGCTACGAATCGTTTAACGATTGTTTTCTGTATATTTTACATATCTTTGTTCGATCAAAATTTCTTTTTAAAATAATTTTAAAAAATTTGAATGAAGGGAAGAACTAGGAAACTAGAAAATCCTGGCTCGTGTAAGATCCATTTGACCGGTCCCAAATTTATCGTTTCCATGGGAATCGAATCCTCGCAGGAATTGTCCATTTTCAATCCAGATCGTGCACGAGCACGAACGTGCGAATGTTCATTGGATTCTTCAGATTTATCCTTACTTCGATAGTGCGTTTTATCATAAAAATTCCCTCGTAGGTCGTAGCAACTTCCAAAGATTAAGCACTTAAGTCGAATCTTACTACAAATAGCCCACGAGTTACGATTGGAGTCGAACGGGCAATAAAATTCACAATCTCCCCGATCCGCAATCACAACAAAAGGGCGAAATAAAAAGGCACGAAACAACTTTTGTTTCCAGAGGAACGAACCTCGAGTAAATACGCGGGTTGAACTTCAAACTTCCTCAATCAAACTTCCACGTTTAACCTTTCTCTTCTTAACAACTCGTAATCAAACTATTCGTGTAGGACAAATGGAGGCATTATCGAACGATTTATATATCATGCGATCGTGTTTCTTTCTTTCTTTCTTTCTTTTTTTTTTCTAAACAACGATAGATAACGATGCACCTATGGATAAAACAAAAAAATTAAATTACATTTCATTTCATCACAAACTTATAATATCATTATAATATTAAAATATAAGATTTAGCGGAATTCATTAACAATTAATTCTGATTACAATTTTTCGTAAAATAATCGTTTCGATTAATCATCCACACAAAAATGTGACATGATATCTGACCAAATGACGTTTAACTCGACAAACTTGATATCCTAAAATTTCCTAGAATTCATAAGCAATTCCACGAAAATTTACAGACAACTACAGCTAAGCATCGGCGCGCACGGTTACCTACGTGCACACCATAGCCACGTACCTGATCAAAAAGCGTTTAACGGTAGGTTGTCGTTGATCGCGTGGAACGGTAGCCGGGTGGGCGATAGCGCGCCAATTATCTTTAATCACGTGCAATTTCGTGGCGAGAAAGTGGAGCGTCGAGCTTTCATGCCGGGGCATCGTTCAAGCGACGCATAAACGGTTTTCGGAGCCGAAGAAAAGCGGGCCGATCGCCGACCGAAAAGACCATCCGCCCATCCGAATTTCCAATAAAGCCAATAACTCGCCCCTATATAATCCGCGGGGGAGCCCGGGGCGGTTTAATTGCGCTTTGACGGGTGGCGTTCTTTGGCGCGGCGGTGCGGTGAACCGGTCTTCCACCGATGGAATCTTCTTAGGCCGCCGCTTATTTATTGCGATTCGCCTCGCGTGCTTCCTCGCGTCACTCCCCTCTTTTATACCGTTCGAATGATGCGAGAATTGAAATATGAACGGTGAACGAGTGTGTTGCGTGATGACCGTGATACATGTGATTCGTTTCTCGATATTTAACAAGTGGAAAGTTTACGTTGTGGAGTTCCTGAGCAGAACATCGAAGCTTACATTCTGTCTGTGTAATTATTTAAAAATGGAAAATTGGTATGGTAATTGAATAGTGATATTGTCTTTGATATTGTTTTTGGGTAAATTGATCGTTTTGTAGATCGAATTAAATATTTGGCAAATTTAAAATTATAGCTATTATTGCTTGACACGAAACTTGTAATATTCATCGTCTTCTTTAAAAATCTTTACTCTCTTTCAAACTTTAATGTATCGAGAGCGATCGCATTTTTTACGAAATAAAGGAACGAATCTTTTCTTCTCTCTCTATTGACATAAAAAAAGAGAAATCTGTCGGAAGAAAAAGAGGAAAACGAAAGAAAGAAGTTCGTACCAATATTGCGAATATACCCATTCCGTATATTCCTCTCCATCCCTCTTACACTCTCTCTCCCTCTCGAAGAGTATATATATACATTCATGGGTGAAATTTATGTTACCTACACACTTTCCAAGACTGGGAATTGTTAATGCGGGGAGGGGAAGGGATAGAGAACAAAATACTGGTCCGGTAGGATGGTATCGGAAGGTTTGTGGAAGACTACAGTGCCGAGGGAACTCGTATAATCTCGGAGCTAACCACCCTTCCGATTCTTGACGTTGCTCCAGCCCTATTTCCTGCTTTCATTACGATCCTCCGCAGCTTTGGATCCTAATCGAACCCTCTCCTGTCCCTTATCCATTCCTCCTCCTCCTCCCCCATTCCCCCATCACGAGTTCTCGAGCGGAGCGGGAGGGGGTGGGTGGATTCAGATCAAAACGTTCCGACTCCGTGATTCGAAGGCCGATTTCTCGTCCTCCGTGATCTCGAAGGACGACGCACGACGACAGTGAATTAGTACGGCGAAATTCCGGCCGTGATTCGATCAAACGGTTGATTAAAAGCGGAATTTGTTCGACGTTTAACGCTCAAGCTCGAGTCGACCAATTGTATGTAAATCCCGGGCGTAAAAGCGGGGCGAGTGCCCCGTCGTCGTCCTCGTTATTTTCGTTCCCCCCCCGTGCCTTCGCTCTTCCTTCTCTCCTGCCTCCCCCGCCACCCCCTCGACTATTTTATTCTTGCACCATACCGCAGAGAAACATCGACGATCATTAGCGGCGGGTGGCGCGCGGCCGTTGAAAAATTTTCCCGCCACGCCGCGAATTTTATCGCGGATCCCACCCTCGCTTCGAGCACGTAGCTCTCCTCCGCCCGCGCGTAACGTGATTATAGCTTTAAACAACGATCAAAGATAACCCTGTCCGATCGATAAAGCTCATACATAAAATGCAGCTTTTGTGCGGCGGGGGTGAAGAATGAAGGGAAAAAAGGAGAGAGAGAGGAAAAGAAAAAAAGAAAAAAAATGGGAGCAGGCGAGGAAGAAGAGGGGGAAGGGGGTGGTAATCCCATCGCGATCCTCTTCGCTTTATTAAAATAGAGACTACATATTGCCGGTCGAAAAAGCTGAAAATAAAAACCTCCGCTGCATGGGCGCGATGGAGGAAGGGGAGAGGTTGAAAATCGCGGCTTCGATTCTGTTTTCCCAATTTGCCGGGAAATGGACCGTGTTAATCAAGCGTCGGGCCACGCGTGACCACGAGATCGAAAAGGGATCTTGGTTAAGCTCGACCGATTTTAAGATCTTTCCTTTTGCGAATCCCTCTCTCTTCGAGTATTTTCTTTTCCTTTCTCTTTTCTTTTCCTCTTCTCTCTTCCCCGTTTTCTTCGATTCGTTCGAATTCTATCTCTTTAGATGAAGAGAGAGAGAGAGAGAGAATCGCGATTCCATCGCGTTTATCCCAATTTATATGCCGACCGTAAGCCTCGAGTTGAATGCCACGCAAAAACATCCCCCTCTCGTTCGCTTGTTAGGAAAGTCCCTTTCTTTGTTCGCCGGATCGACGTGTCCACGCCCACCCGATTAAGAAGGGTATATCGCGATCGATCGCGATAATTAAACTCCTGTGTCAATCGTCTCCCTTTTTCTCTCTCTTTCTTCTTCCTTTGATACCGATATTTTATCGCGATACAGCGCGTATGGATTGGAAATCACATAGATTATATATCATGCTTTTATTAAAGAGTGTTGACGAATCGTTTCGAATATTCTTTTGGAAATTATTTCGAATTTCGTGTTTTTTTCTTTATAGGTTTCAAAAGGTAAACGATCGAGTGGTTGATTTTTTAAAAATTATTCGAAACTTTAAAGGATATTTCTTGAAGGGATAAAGATCTTCAGTATTTGTTTATCCGTGTGAATCGTCGAGTTATATTGATTTTCTTTTCAAAATATAGAAGAATATCGCTGAAAAATTTCGTCGCGTTAAGAATATAGGATGAGTTATTAAATGATGAACAAATTTTGTTTTATATCCCAATTAATATCTCTTTCATTTCCTTGTTAATATAATCGATCATTTGCCGATTTTAATTCCTAAAGGAAGAGAAGATTGCTCAAATTTTCAAAACGTTTGTTATCAAATTCGTTAAACGAACCCGTTTATCACCCGCGTCGAGGCAAATCTCACTTTGATAAAATTAACAGACGTATAAATCCACGTTACCTCTTTTAATTTATGATTTCGTGCAATCGTGCTCATCGATCGAACGACGTCAAGCGTCGAAGCAATCGTGGCTCGAGGATTTCGTGATGGCGATTGACAGAGGGAGACGCGTTAAGAATGGCTCGCAATTGGCGCAGAAATTGTTGGACGTCAATCGTGGGAAGGATTTCCTTAGCGCGGCTTGGTAATTTCCCTAAGGCATCGGCTGATCAAATACACGGTTCGATATTTCTGCTAGAGTTGGCGTTGGATGTTGCATTGAAGGGAGGAGAAACGATCTTTACGAGCGCGGAACTTGCGGATTTCATTGATACGATTGCGCGTATTGGATTTCGATTTTCACCGTAAGTCTGTGAATATTAAATTATCCTAAATATCCTGCAATTTCAAAGAAGAATTCTTGAATTTTTCAATTTGCCATTTCTTCGTCCTTCGCCAGTATCCTTGGATCCATTTTATACGGGTTAATATCCATTAATAATTAAGATTGAGGTAATCCTGTAAATGTAATAATATATTTATTATTTACTATCTACACGTTTTTGCTAGCAATTATAAAGATAAATCATGAAATCAATTTTTACGTTAAATTCCAATAATTATTCACAGATTTTTTTCCTTTTCGATATACTTCGATTCTTTTTAATTTATGTAAAAATAGAATGCGCAAGGAAAGATGGCTGAAACAGGAGTGTGTTCAGCGCATAGATACACGTAGTATAGACAGGAGAATGAATTTCGTACCGGATCCCGCGGCTACACTTTCGCTCTAAACGAACACGACTTCGGGCGCGGCACTAAATCTCTTTGGCAATCACTGAAAGTGGAAAGAGAAAAATTGCGGCCAGCTCGGATTTCTGGGGTTAAAGGTAATTGATTTCTTGTATTTTTACAGTTCGAACAGCCGGTTTATTAACCGCAACTGTAAAATCGCAATTCTCGTGTACTCGTGATAAAATCAAAATTACAAAACTTTAATCTTCTTTGAATTTATCACATTTTCTTAAGGGTAATCCTCCGGGGAAATTCCCCTTTGGCACGAAATAAGAAATCTCTCTCTCCCCTTTTGAAACAGCCGAGGTACATCTTCGAGTCTTCGCCGAGGATCAATTATAAATTATAAAAAAGATCGACCTAAATTTCGATCGAACATTTGACAAGATATAAGTGAATTTTCCAATAAAATATTTCCCTTGGAACAGACATATTCGCGCAACATACACACACACACACACACACTCTCTCCCTCGATCTGGCATCGACTCAGACGGCTTTAACCAGATTTCCAAACCGAGGTAGCTAGGTGATCGCATCGACCCTCCCGTGCCTGTTTGCCCAGTGATTCGACTTATCGAGGGGTTCACGGTGGATTCTGGATGCTGGGAAGGGGTGAGATCGCGCAAACGAATCGTCGTGGGATCACTTTGACGCCGCGATACAATTTGTCGGATGTTTAATGCACAATGGGCCGGTGAAAAATGCAGCGTGTCGACTGATCGATCGAGAGGGACCCTGGTCTCGAATGCAAAATGTGAGGTTCACACCCCCGTTATTTAATTTTTCATTCCATCATTTTCACGTTCCATCCATTTTTTTTTTTTTTTTTTTTTTACTCATTACTCAGCGTTTACATTTTTTCGAAATTATCCGGTTTAATAGAAACGTATACGACGCTCTTCAAAGAAGTTAATCGGAAGATAGACGATAGAAAAGTTTGCAAATTAACTTAAACAGTAAGCATTAGGATTGTTGGACCGGAAGATGAAGAAGATACGCGAGCAGGCAGCGTAATGAAGATTGGTACAAGTTGGACTTTAATATTTGAGGACACGTTCAAGTTAGCTCGGAATTCTCGTCTCCGCTCCGTGTTCCTTCTCTTAATTTTGCTTTATTAAACCGCGGCCACAACTTCTTCTAATTACATTATAAACATCACCACCTTTGTTTGCATTGGATCATCCGATTTTCGTTTCCTTCGTGGCAACGAACTTCGTTCTCGCAAATTGGGGCTTATAATTATTTCCATCCTTTTAAAATAATCTAGTATATTTATTAAATATATATATATATATTTATATATATGCATAAAATTCTGAAAATTTTCAACGCGAATATATCCCCTGCACCGAACACTGAAAAATTATCAAAGATTCATCGTGACAATACATATTAAACATTTTATATCTATTAAAACAAATTTTTAATCTCTCCCCCATATTTCACCGTTATTCCCATTTATAACCTTGCATATGATCCCATCTCAAAAAAAAAAAAAAATGAATTATTACATCTACCTACCATAAAAAATTCTTACCTATATTATAGAGCACAACTTCTGATTATATTACTCCGCTCCGCGGAATATAAAATTCCTCTCCACTCTCTTCTTTTTCGAAACTTCCCACTGATCGAAACGAACGAAACTGGCACACTTGCAAACCGAGTGTCGACGACGAATGAAACGCTTCCGGAAGCGACCGCACCCCATTTTCCACCAGTCGACCCTCCAGGTCGACCTCAGCAAGGGACATCGCGATCGAGTTATTATCTGAACGTAAGCGGGCTCCCGCGAAAGAGTTGATAAGCCGCGCAGCGATCATTTATTTTTCATTGTGCTCCACGCATCGCTACGGTTTCGGTTCGCTCGTCCTCTCTTCTTCTGTCATCCGTTTGATTAAAGTCTTCATATTTCACGAACCTGTTCCGATGAACCACGCACACGTACGCGCACACGCGCACGCTCGAGCGTGCTCGAGGAAGGGAAGGGTNTGCTCGCGCCCCCCCGTTCCATCGTAGGCCTCGGCTGCGACCCAACGAATGGAAAAGAAAGAGGGAGAGGCAGTTCGGTATCAATGGTAATGGCTGTCCGAGCGGACTTATTTAGGAGCGCATACGAAATTATGCACGAGCCGAAAGAGATAAAGAGAATAAAGGGAGGAGGAAGGGCTTGGGCCGACAGAGAAAAAGGAACAATAGGCGGGCGCTGGCTGGGCCACGATTTGACAGATGTCAAGACAAAGTGAGCGGGGAAAGAGAGAGAGAGAGAGAGAGAGAGAGAGAGGTTGGTTAGCCTGCAGCCAGGAAAGGGGTGCTCGATATCAGACCGTGTGTTACATTTAAATGATTGATGAACGCGCTCAATGAGAATCACAGCTGGGTCACACACATATCTTCCCGCGGTCGAGTGCCAGGACCACCGAGTCTAATCCGGGGCCTGGGTCTGGAAACGCGACATGATGTAGATGTCTCGGTACACGCGCCTTACTGATTATGCACCGTGTCTCCGATCGAACACGAGCCGACAGAAATTTCAATACTCCTTAACAGGATGGATGCTGGAGTTTCATTTATTTCTTCGTTTCGTTCGTTCGAGAGAATTACGGATTTTTCGATCTTCTTCTTTACATCGAATCTCTCTTTCTTTTAATAGCATTATTATTTATACCTTAGATATATCAGCAAGATTGAGATTATGGTTGCGAATCGAATTCGAGACGATTTATTCTTTTTGATAGAAATTAGAAATAGTAATTCTGTTAATTGTTACTAAATAAGATCAATATTCGTGCGTCTTCATAAAAAGAAACGAAGAGAAGTAATTTTACGATGCGATAAAGTGCTAATAATTTT